AATGTTCAAAATAAACTCCTACAAAAAATAACATTTAACATCTGTTGATTTTTAAAGTATGGGTTGCTACGAGGACAGACCATTTTGTCACAAATCATTCAGCTCAGTTTGATTTTGAACTTGTTTGATTGTCTGTGTCTAAGTTCAACCTTTAAAACATTTCAGCTCTGACCTTTGTTTTTTACAGTGACAGTGAATTTCCATGGGTAATTATTGCACACTGAGAACTTGGCAGCACGATGGATCAGTGGTTAGCACTGTTGCCTCACAGCAAGAAGGTTCTAGGTTCAATCCCCGGTTGGATCTGGGGTCTTTCTGTGTGGAGTTTGCATGTTCTTCTCATGCTGCGTGGCTTTTCTCCGGTTTCCTCCCACAGATAAAAAACATGCATGTTCAGGTCCAGGCCTCACTTGCAAAAGATCTGTGACCTCAGTGGGATTTGTCTGGTTACTAGCCTGGTTAAATGAAGGTTAATAAATAAATAAAAAATAAAACTTTCAATCATAAAATCAAGAATTAAATTTCTTACCTTGTTCATCTAACAGGATGTTGTCTGGCTTCACGTCTCTGAAAGAAACAAAAAGACTAAAGTTCTGTAAATAATCAAAACAGATGAAAACACATTCATGCACGCGTAAACAAGAAGTTAATTTTAGAATAATTATATAAATTCTGCACCTTTTAGTTGAATAGGAATTATAATTAGTTTTAGAAAATCAGCGCACACTCTGTCCCTGATGCAGCTGGACAAGGACGAGTTACAACGGGAGCTGGATGCGGGTCCCGGGTCACTGCAGCTAGCTGCTGCTAGCCGTGGGCTCAGGCCTCCTCTCGGACCCCAGATCCGCCTCCAGCCCACGCTGCTCCCCCGGCTCGGACCTCCCTCAGAAGCAGCAACTCACACTATTAATAAATCAAGGAAACGTGAATTCAGTTTTACCAATTGTATTAAATCAAGTAGGAGAAGGTTACAGGTGACAGCGCTGGCCGGTCCGGTACCCGACGCAAGATCAGAAACCTGAAGGCCCCGACGTCCTGTGGCATTACAGACTTATAGGCCCTAGACTCCTCTTTCGCAGAAGACGAGCACAACCCGTCACGTGTATGAGGGGAGGGACTAAGTGTGGTCTCTTTTGGACCTTATGCGAGTTAACGTGACAGGAAAAATGAGACGGTGCTTAAAAATCTTTTCTGTGTGACGCAGAAGTAAAATGAACTCTATTCCTTGACGGATGTTGAACCCCTGGGTGGATCTTTTTAGAGTCGCTGGCCCCGTTTAACCCAGTCAGAACCGGGTCATAGTTTCATTATAATCCTGTCTCTGAGCTGATCATAAACCCAGGGTCAGTCTAGATCGTACGTGTCAAACTCAAGGCCCGGGGGCCAAATGTGGCCCTCCTTAACTTCTTATCTGGCCCCCAAGACGTTATTTTAAATGTAAAATACTTTTATCACTTTAATTTGTTTCAGTAATCTTTGATTATGTCAAAATTGCAACAGAGAACGTCCAATGAGACCAATCAACCTCTTGTTGAGGAGTCTGCAATCAACAAAAGATGTTGGTGTCTAACTTGTAGGTTCTGAAACTGGCCCTTAGTTTGAAACAGGTTTTAATTTAGGCCCCTTTGGAAGTGGGTTTGACACCCCGTCTGAAAGTTTCATTCAACCTTTATTTCTACAGGTTAGTCTCATTGAGCCTTGGGACTCATTTACAACAGAGACCTGGTTTTAACAAAGAGTGACAACAACAATGGACGATCGTAAAAGAAAGCTTAAGAATGAAACACAAACAGCTAGATTATAAGGCAGTGTAGAAAACTAAAAACAGG